CCTACGTCAAAGCCGACTACAAGCAGCTTCCGGGACTGGAGTTTTATACGGCAAAAGGAAGGGGAAAGGTAGCAGATGTTTTCAAGCACATGAAACTGTCAAAGTTCGCAAAGAAATATCTGGTTTGGCAAGCCATCTGTACCTGTGGCTTGAAAAGCAGCATTTTCATAGCTTCCGGGACTGTCAACCAAGAAATTTACGTGAAAGAGTGTTTGAATAAACGTCTGCTGCCTTTCCTGAAGAAACACGGTTGTTCCGTACTGTTTTGGCCGGATTTGGCATCTTGCCATTACGGTAAAAAGGCCATGGAGTGGTACGCCGCCAACAACGTGCAGGTGGTTCCCAAGGACAAGAACCCTCCCAACACGCCAGAGCTCCGCCCAATTGAGAAATACTGGGCTATTGTCAAGCGGAACCTAAAGAAGACCAAAAAAACTGAAGTAATGAAATTGGGTTGTTAGCGGAATGCATAAAAAAAAAACAGCAAAAAAGGTTATCTTCCATTTAATTCCACTTAATAAATTTTGGTATCCATGACAGATACGTATTTCGACTACAATGTGCAGTCTTCATCAGTGTCATTCCCACTAAAGAACTTATCAAAATCTAACCCCCTTAAGTACTCATCCCCTAGGTATAAAAGTCAAGATCACAGGTATATAAATGAAACTACAATGTGTTGAATCGGAACCTACCTAACTAATTAAAACCAAAGATTTAAGTAAGCTAAAGGAGAAAAATCTATTCAACTCTCCAATAAGGAAGGAAGGAAGGGGATGAGTACTTAAGGGGGTTAAATTTTGATAAGTTCTTTAGTGGGAATGACACTGATGAAGACTGCACATTGTAGTCGAAATACGTATCTGTCATGGATACCAAAATTAATTAAGTGGAATTAAATGGAAGATAACCTTTTTTGCTGTTTTAATTTTATTTATCAAAAAACTGCTAAGGGCGAGCAGCAGTTCAAGGCAAACTGGCTTTCTGCGGCGAAGAAGGTGGACAAGGTGGCTGTACAAAATCTGATGGCAGGGGTCAAGCGTAAGGCCCGGCAATTCGGATTTGGAAAAGCGGAAGCCTAACTGAATATTTTTCCTGAATTTTATACTAATTGAACTTGAAAAAGAAATTTTATTTGATTTTTTAAATAAACGATTTCACCGATTTACACGCGTTTTCCCTTGACCAAATTTTGACCGTATCACCCTTTATGCAACTGTACTTGCCTGTGGTCACAGGTTGGAAGACACCGTCTCCGTTTCCGAGCTCAGGACCGGGACGACTATGACGGCGGGATCCAGCAAGCTCGACTGAGTCGGAGGGATTAGGGGCTTCCAATGTTCTGAGTGCAGTGCGGCCCGGTGAAGAAGTGAACGATGATGAAGGAAGATAACGTTGAGGTACCCGTTGCTGCTCTAGGTGAACCATCCTGGTGTTTGGTTCGGAATTGAGAAGTTTGTTTTCGGTAGAGTCAGGCCGTAACGATATCCTGGAAGCCAAAGAACTATCAACCAACGAATTGCTGATACGTGAGGAATACTTGCCTGTAAGAGGGTTCTGGATGACCCCGACACCAACCTCGACCACAGGTCTAGAATGACTGTGAAGGCAGGAACAAACAGCAAGCACGACTGGGTCGGGAGGACTAGGGGCTTCCACAATGCTACAGGCAGTGCGTTCTGGGTTGATTTCAGCAAGCAGCGGTGAATTGATTGATTCCAATGTAGAGGATACTATTGGCCACCGGTATCCGCTGGTGGTTTCGCACCAATACTGATGACTTCAGGCATAACATTTGATAACGGCGCAAAAGCATTTGTAAACAAACTTTCTGGGGCCCTTTACACGCGAACCAAAGTACGCCCACGCAAACCAACATATGTGCCGTTATCAAATGTTATGCCTGACTTGACGGTTTTTTTGAGCGATTTTCAAATTCACGGAAATACACGTTCTCAGGCCATGTTTCTACGTCCTTCAGATCCTTACTAACGCCCACTTTGAAAGTCACAAAGCTAAGTGTGGCAGGTTCTTTGCCCTTAGGCACCAACCTGATAACCTTAGGTTTCACATCGGGGCCCAGATTCATGCAGGTAATTGCTAGTGATGGGATGTCATCATCTGGAGTGTTGGCTGACAGATAAATCCATAGCAGATTCTCACGCTGTGGCACTGTTTTCAACGTATTAAAGGCCGATTTAGTCCCACGAGTAACCGGAGCTTTTGCCGACGACAGGTTCTCATCGCGCTTCCGTTTCGGAGTGTTGGGAACAGGATTCGACCCAAAGATTTTCGGTCATGAAGGATTCAAAACGGGAGCTGGAGGTTTGGCATCCACCTTTGCAGAAAGAACATTTACCATGTCCTTCAGCCCAGCTATGTCGTCCTTTAGCGAATTCACTGAAGCTTCATCAGGTAAATTTTCAGCAGCACCGTGACGTAATTTTCCTAAAGTGGTCGCTGGAAAACACATCCGCGCAACCATCACACCTCCAGAAAAGATTCCGGCAATTGGTTCCCAACGCCTCGTGTAGCGAATAATCCACCTTTGCACAGATTTTCAGCGCAGCCTACTTGATGATGACCGGATATCGTGAAAAGTAGTGGAAAACTCGTGGCGAAGTGCTTTTCCGTGAAATTGCGTTGAAATTGAGCATTCATCAGAACCGCTGGTTGAATGCAGTGAGAGGCTGTTCATTAACTACGCACATAGTTTTTTTTTATTGTTGACCCCCCACCCCTTAAACTATGTCTACGTTGTTTATGAACAGCCCCTGACGCGCTACGAATATTGAACATGGTCGTCGCTCGTGAATGAGTGAACTTGTCGTGTCAAGTTTGCGCTATATACATCACCGAAACCAACAAACAGTTGACCAGGCATACAGTGAATATAATGGCTTTCAGAACCTCATTTATGCCCTGTCCCTTTCTGAAGAGCCGAACAGGTAGCGAAATACATCGAATTCGAGGCGGTGTACAACGACTTGTCGATCCGGTTGAGTATGCTGACAGAGGAGGCTACAACGGAAGCTACAAGCTGAACATTGCATTAGGTCCTTATTAACATTGATCGATTCTCTTCGTCGACTTTCTCTTTCGGTAAAAACTTGAGCACAGAACCGTTTCTTGATGTGTTTGTCGTATTAGATGCTAGATAAAAGCTTCTTTTATCGATCTGTGTGCTGAAAATACCTGGGGATGTCTTTACATGGCCGTGGGGATACAAAGAGAATCTGTCAATGTAACTTAGGACCTAATGCAATGTTCAGCAGTTCGATGACATTTGGATCAGCTTTGCCATTCCTCCCTCCACTTCAAGCGCCGTTACCGACCTTTGATGGGTCGTACGAACGATGGTTTTCGTTTAAATCCATGTTCAATACCATCATGGGTCGAAACCGGCCATAAAGCTTTACCATCTCCGTAATTTACTCTTTGGTCCGGTTGCAGGAATCATAGACCAGGACATCGTTAACAATAACGACTACGATGCTGCCTGGCGATTCCTCACGGAGAGATTCGAAGACAAGAGACGTATCATAGACAAGCACATCGAGTGTTTGTTCAATTTGCCGAATATCGTAAAGGACAACTCGGTAAACCTCCGAAAGTTGCTGGACGTGTGCAACAAGAACATCGAAGAACTCAAGAACTTGAACCTTCAACTGGAAGGGCTCGGAGAGCAAATGGTGGTGAACATGATTTTGTCGCGAATGGATAAAGCTTCGAGAGTCGCTTGGGAGACTCGTCAGAAACCGGGAATTCTGCCCAGTTATACGGCGACGGTGACGTTCCTGCAGTTGAATAACATGGTTTACACGTTCAATTCGCGTTCAAGTCAGTTGAATTCAACTGACTTGATAAATTGACTTGCCCTGTCTAAACCCAGCTTAACAAAAAAAAATCCCATTAACACACGTGTATCATCTTCGGCTTTATTTCGTGAAGCAGCTTGCCAACAATTTGCTCGTTTCCTTCTACCACCCCGAGTGAGCACGGGCTGCTTGTCATGAAAAAAAGGAAGAAGATTATATCGTTATTGCGTTCCACTTCTGACAAAGCGTTATCATTCGGTTCGTTGATCGCTTGTCATATTGTCATTTGTCAAACGACTAATCAATATGTGCCATAAATCATTTAACGGTGTGAGATGTCGTCAAAAACTAATCATTCATGATCATGACATCATATTGCGACAGATTGGCCAAGGTGTGGCCCCGAATTGTTCGAACCGTATTTTCCATACAAAAAAAAAAAGGTTTTTTTTTGCATGGAAAATACGGTTCGTACAAAAACAAGAATATGGGCGCATATCATCTTTTCTAGATTAAATTAGCCAATTGGTGGCCCCAATGCAGATCCCAGAAGCCCCGAGGGAATTCGTCAATTATTAATTACATCAAGGCCAATTCAGCTCTTTTGGATAACATTGGCCATCTGGTAGCACCGGAACAGGAATCCCTGATAGTAGTGGTCAATTTTTTATTACATCAGAAACGAGTAGCATGCCATTGTTCTCAGAAATTTGTGGGTGATCCAGAAGAGGCCATATCATCTTTGCTGGATCGGAGGCACACCAGTCTCTGGATGAAAGTCTCCCTAATTAAGACATTCTAACCTAACCCTCTTTTCTGGATCACATTGACCATCTGGTGGTTTGGAATTGGTTCTGGAAGCGCTTGGAGAAGTGACAACATTTCTCTACAAAAGAAACCTATCAATCGACATAAAATTATTTGCAGAATTTTGAGAGCAATCCAGAAGAGACCATATTATCTTTTCTGAATAACATTGCTCATATGTTGGCCTAAGAAAAGATTCCAAAAGCTTTGGGGCAAGTGGGCATTTTTTTACTACATCAGAAGCCTATCGAGAGCCATATAATTGTTCTCAGCATTTCCTGGAAATCCAGAAGTGGATACCATTATCCCCATCTGGTGGCCCCAAAATTGGTTTCGGAAACCCTGCGGTGCCCAATTATCCATTGCAGCAGAAACCTATTGTTCGCGACAATTTTTCAACACTTCACTCGCGACGTTGGTCAGGCAATCTAACGGGTCTACGCACGTTCCCTTCTTGGCCACGGGGACCGCCAACGGAAAGCGGTCTCCTTCGTCAATGGCCCACTGGTCGAGCACACGAGTAGCATGGAAAGGCGAGGCGGCGAGATCGTAAGTCACGGTTTTTAGTCGATACACGTGAACTGATTCTGACGGATCCTGATATTTCCGGTCGTCTGGATGTGTCCAAATCTGCCGGAACATCTTCTCACCGTCAGCAGTGACGGCGAAGCGAGGCATGCGGATATTGATAACGGTTGAGTACAGAGCTGGCTGTATTGTTTGGCCGGACAAGAGAACCTCGTTGAGCGATACGGCTGAATCCGTCGAACACTACTCGTATCTTCGTGGTTGTACTCTCAGGACGGTGGATGGCATGGTGGGGCAGGAAAAACTGAGGGTTACGCGACGCGGACGGATTCACCTCCTCCATACGTCCCAGTCTTTCATATTCCTCCATGAACGCGTGGTAAGCTTCACGAAGGCCTTCATCAACAGCAAACTTTTCCTCCATAGATTGGAGCCAACGTAGTGCGAGTGGGTAGGAATCTCCAAGTATCGATAGTATTTCCTCCCGTATAGTGTAGGCTTTCCCAACGTCAACATTTTCAACTTCCCAGAACCGCTCGAGCTTGTCTAGTGTGTCATTCATGCAGAAGGTCTGAACTGCCTGTGGATCGGGAGCTGGATCCACTACTTTTCCGCAGACGATGTAACCCAGAACAGTCTTCTGTAGTAGTGGATACCCAGTAGCGACAGAGATTTGCGAATAGTGAATAGGAGCGAATAGAACAATTCAGCGCCGATGATGATATCAATCTTCTGGCTGATGTTAAACTGGGGATCAGCCAGCGAGAGAATAGGTGGCTGGGTAGCGATATGGTAAGCTTCGGCAGCAATAGGCAGTCCAGACTGAAGCGATGATCTCCGTAGTGTGAAGCGAGTGAAATTGTAACTCCGAAGTAGACGTTTACAGTGGATTGACCAATGCCACTGACCGGCGAGTTGAGCTTAACATGCTTCAAACGGAGCTTCTGGCATAGTGATTCGGTGATGAAGCTGGGCTGTGAGCCACTATCCAGCAAGGCTCTGGCGAAGTGTTCGTTGTTGTCAGCGTCCTTCACCTTGATCACTGCTGTAGAGAGCACAACAGTGCTTTGCCGAAAACTTTGAGTCACTTCAACACTTTGACAGGACGTGGAGAACCGGCGATGTGGAGGGGTCGATTCCGACCGAAACCGATTGCGGAAACGATCTAGACGACAAGTTGACGAGTAGTGAGGAACCAGTTTCTGCCGGCGGCGAACGTGCGACTATGGTCGCATCGCGTTGTGACATTTGAGACGATTGCGAACTGATTGCTGTAGCGGGTTGACCGACGAAAACTGGTGTTGCCACCGATGTACCAGGAACCGACGACGACGACATCGGTGGTAGATGTAGCAGAGAATGGTGCTTCTTGTAGCACTGTTTGCACGAAGCGCTGGAGCAATCCTTCCCAAGGTGGGTACCCTTCAAGCAGTTGATGCAAAGCCCGTGCTTCTCCACGAACTCGAATCGTTGCTGCGGTGTAAGACCTTGGAAGCACCCGTTACTACGCCGCGAGTGGTTGAAGAAAATCCCGGTGGACTGGAACAACATGTTCCAGGGCTCGAGACTGTGAATACGATTGCTGCAACTATTTCCCCACGCCGTGACTCTGCATTGGAGGAAGTTTTGGGGAAGTACCCGAAGGTTTTCGAGGACTCGATCGGAAAGATTTCCCACGTTCAAGCTAACCTACCATTGAAGAACAATGCTCGAGCCGTGTTTTTCAAGGCACTGAAGATACCCTTAAATATGCAGAGAGTGGTTGAGGACAAATTGGAGAATCTGGTTGCAGAGGGTGTGCTCACGAAAGTTAACTCCAGTAGCTGGGCGACCCCGATTGTGCCTGTGAGAAGTCGCAGAACCGGGTTATGATTTGCGGAGACTACAAGCAGACCGTGAACCCGAACCTCGTGGTGGACAGGCATTTGCTGCCCACTGTGGATGAGCTGTTTGCTTCGCTAGCGGGAGGCAAGAAGTTTAGCAAGATTGATCTCATCCAAGCGTATCTGCAACTGGAAGTATCTCCGGAGGACCGTGAAATACTAACGCTGAGTACTCACCGAGGTCTATAACGTCCAAATCGTCTAATGGCAGCGGTAAATGGAGGCCCTACTGCAAGGCATAGATGGAGTAAGCGTTTTCCTAGATGACATCAAGATCACGGGGGAAAACGATGAAGTTCATTTTCGGCAACTGAACGAATGCAGTATACGAGTGAATAAGGAGAAGTGCTAGTTCTTCGTGGACAATATTGAATACTGCGGTTACTCCATCGATAAGGAAGGAATCCTTAAGATCCGGAAGAAGGTGCAAGCAGTACAGGAAGGTTTCGTCAATCATTACGGGTGGTTCTTCGAGAACTTTAGTGCGGTCCTGTATTCGCTTAACAATCTACTGAAGAACGATGTTCCATTCAGATGGACCAAGCAATGCGAATATTCTTTCAGGAAAGTGAAGGAACATATGTAGTCCGACAACTGCCTTGTCCACTACTCACCCGAACTGCCACTGCTGCTTGCTACGGACGCTTCACTCTACGGAGTAGAGACTGTGCTGAGTCACGTGTACCCAGATGGCACGGAATGTCCAATCCAGTTCGCGTCCCAGGCCCGTGTGCAGCAGAACTATATGCAGGTGGACAAAGAAGCGTACGCCATCATATTTGGCGTGAAGAAGTTCTTTCAGTACTTGTACGGTTGGAAGTTCCGATTGATTACCGTCAACCAGGCTATCTCAAAGATCTTCGGGGAGCACAAATGGTTGCCGGCGATGTCAGCGTTGAGGATGCGAGATTCGGTTCCGGAAGTCCATGGATCATGCGAATGCTATCGCCATGTCGAGAATTCCATTAGGAGTAACTCATCATCAGAATGAAATCAAAGAATGTGATGCTGTGGAGTTGAGTCAAATCGACATTATACCCTTGATTGCGGCCAAGTTAGGTCAAGCTACTGCGGAGGATCAGATGGTGCAAAAACTTGTTCAAGGAATCAAGCACGGTCAGCTGGTGGAAGCGAAGGATCGGTTTGGAATCGAGCAGAACGAGTTCTCCTTGCAGAATGGATGTCGTGTGCTGGGGGAATTACATTCTACTCACTTCGGTACTACCCGTACAAAGTCACTGGCTATTGCTGGTGGCTTGGTTTGGATCGGGAGATCGAAAAATTGATTGCGAACTGCGCCAACTGCCAGTCGGTACGTGCAGAGCCTGCTAAGATGATCCTACATTGCTGGGAAGCGCCAAGTGAACCATTTCAAAGGGTCCATGTCGACTTTGCGGGTTCTTTCATGGATACCTACATCTTCATCTACGTGGATGCGTTCAGTAAGTGGTCAGATATCATTACGGCCGAATGCACCGTAAGCATATGTCACGATATCTTCAGTACGTTTGGCATACCGTCAGTGCTGGTGAGCGACCATGGCGTCCAGTTTACTTCGGAGGTTTTCCAGCGGTTCCTGAAGATGAATGGTGTAGTCCACAAAATGGGAGCGCACCTTATCATCCGGCAACGCATGGACAGGCCGAGCGATACGTCCAGACGTTCAAGCAGAAATTGAAGGCGTTGAAGTGTTCCAAGTCTCAGCTGAACCTGGAGCTGTCCAATATTCTTCTTACCTACCGCAAGATGATTCATCCGTCTGCCGGGAAATCACCGTCAATGCTCGTATTTGGTCGACAGATTCGATCGAGAATCGACTTGCTGCTATCGGAGAATGAAACTTCAAGCAAGGCTGATATTGTTGTGCGTCAGTTCTTGGATGGCGATCGAGTACGTGTTCGCGATTTCTTGTCGAGCAATAAATGGAAATTTGGCAAGATCGTCGAGAAGCTTGGAAAACTTTGTTATACGGTGCGATTGGATGTGGGTCGAATCTGGGAGCGTCACATTGACCACGTCGTCGGTGTGGGCGCTAATCTGCGGAGCGATTCGGTTGACCTTCCAAAGGAGGAGTACATTGAATTCGTCGAACCTACAACTTCGGCTGCTGCGCCTGTGGGCCAAGCGGCTGCGAATCATGTTGAGGAAGCTACTGGTACAACACCGGTGGTTCGTTGATCTACGCCTGCTGCTACGACAATGATGTCTTCTCCTGGACCCCAGGAGCGTTCCCCGACTGCCGTGGCCAGTCGATCTGCTACGTTGGAGACTGCTCCGACGACCCTACGACGATCCCAGAACATGTTTCGTCTAGAAACGATTCTCTGATGACAGTGTTGGGGAAGCAGCATATGCATGTACGTATTTGATGAATTTGATAGTTATTTCGACTTTTTCAAAAGTTTCTTGTTGAAAATCAACAGTCGGAAGCATGTTCGGAAGTCATGTGTAGACATGTTTTTGATCGATTGGTGATAAAATTATTGAAATTGGTTCAGGGGCAGCTGAGTAATTAATGTTCAAAATCTGTCATAATTCCGTTACAAGTTCCATTTTTGGTTTTCACAAAGTGTACCCCCATGAAGAAATCTCAGACGTAGTCTTACGTCAAAACTCGTAGTCCTATATCAACAATGTGGTCGTGGATCAAACACAACCTTTAACCTTTTTATAATCCAATACAAGTTATTTTTTTAAGGCTTTATTAAAGAGATTTTTAGCCTTCGGCTAGTTCATCTCTAGCCAAAACAAGTGATAATTGCTCCGTAGAGCTCCCGTGATTGGCATATCAATTTAACAAGCTGGTATAAAATAAAACATGACTAGATAGAAGGTTTCCATCTTCAGCAATGCCGATCAACTGTACAAGATGTTTGTTTTTACTTGAGTATTGAGTATAGATAGATGGTAGCTGCCTTCGACGACTTTTTTCAGATTGTAGGCAAGACAAGGGGTAAGTCACTCAGCATATTGTGCCGAAATTAGATTCAACATAGCTTGGGCACATTCATCGGCACACTTTCGGCATACCTTCAGTACCTTCGGCACAATCACGTAGGCATTAGGTTGTTGTAAATAAAATGGGAGCACTGCTGGATAACTGTAATTGAAGTTATTCACAACATGACTTGCTGTTTGCATATATATATTCAGGAACATCCTCTAATTGAATATACCAGAGGAACTCAGACCAACAGTTAACATTTAGATATAAATACGAAATGTAGGTTCTAGAGTGGGCTCAACAGAAAGAGGCAGGTATCCATCAGAACCCTTATTTCAAATAATGATGCAACTCACACAAAACAAACTACAGAAGTCTATTCATCATCCTCTATAGTCGGTTTCCAACAATGTACCCCATCTTTCCGGCCGTTGATAGACCGTTATTTTTCACAGCACGATAGGTTATGTTTCTGGTCTGCCTTAAAGGGCATTACAAAACCCTAAAACACAGGACTTTTATCATCCTATGAACAACACCCGTCACTTCCCGCGTCATCCTCAATCCGATTTATCCTTGCGATTTCAAACAAAAACATTCAAGGTGTCAGAAATATCAGGTTGCTGGGTTGGGTATTCTACGAACAATCACAGCTTGCTCTATGACCGGCACAATCGGTACACTTGCGGCAAACTTGCGGCACACTGACAAAAAAGATGAACCAAGATTGGTGTGCCGAGTGACCTACCCCTTGAGGCAAGCTTTATAGAGGCTTTATAGCATTCTATCAGTTCAAATCATGGTCTACTGAACGCTCATAAAACCAACATTGTTACCTGAGATTTGGGATGAAATGAGTCTTAACAAGGGGTGTTTTCCGTCATCATCACCCAACTAAAACTTTTAGCAGCAGATAAGGCAAACAATGGCAATGTTGGCCTATAAAAGCTAGTCTGCAGAAATTGTTTGTTGGGTACTCAGCTCATTTCTATGAAACTTTCATTTTACACCATGTAGATGTTAAAATCTATATTATCTAATAATATTCATCAGTAGTGGTCTGTGTTTTGTTTTAAAAATATTGGAGGTGGTCTGCACTTTGCTCAGCACGTATCGGATTTATTTTAAGGGAATTCAATAATTCAAACTCATTTTATTTTTATGAAAGCTACAAACTTATAGACATTATTCCTCAGAATTAAATCAAAACCTTTTCACCGTTTAATTCGGTACACAATCATATTTTGTGCCACCCTAATACACGCTTGAGCACACCACTCGTCATTGGCGTATTTCATAAGAAATGTGTCATCAATCTTCGGATAACGGATTTATTGTCGTCGTCATGGTGTGAAAAAAAATCTTTCGTCACGCAAAAGGAAACATCTTCATCGATTCAACAAAATTCAAGCCACAATCAAGAGGCTGCTGCTCCTGTGCTTGAATCATTCTGATAACGATAGGATGTGCGAAAACCGTTCATCTCAATCATCTAGAGATTCGTTCAGGTATGACAAAAGACGACGAAAATCAAACCCTTTCCAATAGAAATCCTTAAAGAGCTCCTGCATCCTACGACGACGCACCTATCAGATCGTTTAATCCCATCAAGGGGGAAGGAACTAGCATCGCTTCGCTTTTCGATCCAATTTGCTGCCATTATCTAATTAGTCCCAGAGCTACCGGAATGGAGCCGGTCGGTGGTGCAGAGAAAACATAAGATTTTGCCGAGCATCTTCAAAGCACTGGGAAGGAGCAGTGGCAGCAGCAGCAGGCGAACGATACCTATAATGGGAATCCTTCCTTCTGGGCTCAGCTCTGCCGACATACATATGTTTGCGATTCTGAGAAATCTTGAGGATTTTGTCTGTTATCGTTTCAACTGGGAGCTGAAATAACTTAATGGTTTATAGATGATAGGAGTCGATGAGATGATGTGAATAGCCAGATGCGATTGCGATTTGTCGATACTCTCTTTATCTCGTCGTACCGGGTTTGGCTTCCATCAACCACCTGATGATGCCATGTCTGGTTTCAGCGCTAACAGGTGTCGAACATTTTCGGAATGGTCTTCCAATCAATTTAATTTGAATTGGCTGTGTGGTTTCGTCTACAAACAAATTTGTTACAAGTCGTCTCTGCACGCAAAATAAACAGCAAATAAAGGTAAGACCATTTGGCAATGGAATACTATTTTCGCACCTCAGCCGAGGTTGCTGGTATTTTCTGAGCTACCGGTCTAATCAGCGTTTTATAGACAGTCAGCTGTTCATCGAGCACTATCAAAGTGTTATTCACTTCGTCGTGATTTTGCGCTGCTAAATTTGTCGATTTTTTTTATCACACGGGCTATCGTTATTCGTTTTTTTTTCCGTTCGGTATACTTGTAATATTGTACTGGTTGTTAGTGGAAAGTGCAGTTCGACCCGATAATCATCTAATTAGAGCATATTTTGTGAAAACAGTGAAAAAGTTATCGAATCGGACATATTGTAGTGTATACTGTTGTGTTATTGTCGATATCAGACTAGCATTGGGCGATCTTGAGAATCCAATTCCTCTTTGCGTATTAGAGCATCTCTACCGCTGTTTCTAAATCCCTTTTGGAAACTGAGTCAGCATGACCAGTTAAAGGCGATGAAGAATCCGTCTCCAGCATGGCTTTTTGCGACAGGATGATTCACCTAAAGTGCGGCGGCACAAAGCTGAATAAGGCTTTTCTGAACATTGTCCACACTAGCCCGAACCTGTTTTGGATGTGTAACGAGTGCGCGAAGCTGATGAAATGTGCTCGGTTCAAAACTACCGTCTCGTCGTTTGGCAGTGTGATTAATTCTATCACCGAGAGACAGGAAATCGCACACGCTGAGCTTAGGAAGGAAATGGCTACAGCAGATCACTCAGCTATCGAAACGAATCGCATTAACAACTCCGACAAACTCTGATTTCATGCGTCAACTGGCATTAAAACGGTGCCACTTGTTGGTGGTTCTAAAGCAGTAACAGGCGACAATGCCTTTACCGAGGTCCTTACTGTCCCTGAACCCACCGAGCTGTTTTGGCTGTACCTTTCTCGTATTCATCCTAGCGTGAAATCGGAATCAATCGAGAAGCTGGTCAAAGGTTGTGTACAGTGCGAAGATCCGATTAAGGTTGTGCCACTAGTAAAAAAAAAGAACCCGACATCAGCCGTATGAGCCATCACGATCTCTCCTATTCCGGGACCTTCCGAGTTCTCAACTCCCATTTCCGGACTAGACCCAGTCTGCTGATTCAGAATTGGATTTTGCGTTGTGAATTGGAGCGCTGTAGACCAGAACGCACTGCCTGTCGCATTATGGGAGACCTCGAACCACTCGATCCAGTTGGGCTAGCTGTTTCCCGCCATCAGAGTCGTTCTGGCCCTGCGGTCGAGTTTGGTGGTGGGGTCTTCCAAGCATCGTCTTCAGGCAAGTATGCATATACATTAGTTACAGTCATTTGCCTGATCAGTTTCCGTGTTCCAGTGCAACGCTTCAAGCACCTGCCGGCTGTTTCCAGTTGAGAAGCACTTCTGATACTGCTCATTCACAACATCCATTTTAATGTTCGAACAATCCTAATTCATCTCCGGGACGCACAATAGACCGCTCTTTGGAAGCTCCAGGTTACTCCAGCCCAGTCGTGTCGATGCCTGCCAGCGTTCAGCATAGTCGTCCTGGACCTGTGGCTGGATTTGGACCAGGAGTCTTTCACCTTGCCTCTACAGGCAAGTACAATCAATATATTGACTATTCACTGCCTGATGCCGATCAAATTTTCAGCAATTCTGACTATGTTAGTCATTGTGATGTTGCCTCTCTGTAACTCCCCATCCCTCCATCACAGTCCTGCCATCAGCAGCCTTCGTTCATCATAGTCATTCCGGACCTGCTGTCGGATGTGAAGAGGGGGTCTTCCAACCCACTCACTGGGGCGAGTTTCCAATGGGACTTGATGATGGTCAGTTATTGCCTGATGTATCTGTGATTTCCAGGGAGAGCAGTCGTTCGATTCCTTGCCGCAAGCAGGACGTTGTGATCTTCTACCAAAGCGCCGGTGGAATGAATTTAGAGATGTTGAAGAGTACCGCCTAGCTGTATCGGATCGTTGCTACGATATAATTTTTTTTTGTTAATTACTTTATTTGTACAGGCTCAATCGAATAAAATTTACAGAGCCAAGTTATCATTTTCTTTAAACATACATCATAAAT